GGGGGGGGGATGGTTATTATAAGTCCATGTGTGAAGTTCAGTCTCAGTCAGTCGGCTGCTCACCAGCTGATCCGTCCGATGGCTCGCTGTAAAGAACCAGACCTGCAGTGTCACACAGCTGTCAGTACACACACACACACACCTCATTAACAGCAGCAGCACACTACGAACAAACTAGTTGAAAGTACAAAGTTGAGGTACTTGTACTTGAGTCTTTATATTTGTACTTTTACTTCACATTGATCTGACAGCTTTAGTTACTTTACAAACGAAGATTTTCCTGCAGACAAAACATACGAGGAGTTAATCGAATCTGATGTTTTGTGATAAATGAATGTACACGACAGTTTGTACAAGTACATGAATCACTTTTTCGATTGTAGGGCTGTCCTCGACCAAAGACACTCCTAGGCGACTAACACTGATACAATTTTGATGACTAATTGAGTTTAAGGTTGGGACGGTGTAATGGGAAAATATGTCATAGTCTCATGTGAAGGTTTAAAGAATGTAAGTCCTAAAAGAGCAGACACCAAACTGTAGTTTCAGTAGATGACTTTAATTAGTTTAGTATCCAGGTGTCTTGGTATCTGTTTTCTTGTGCACTGTTTCTTTCTTCTTCGTAAGACAGAGACACAGAGAGGCCTTGACTAACAGAGATCCTCTGTTTGAAATACTTTTGACTTCCTTTGTGACGCATTATCTGAAGTTGTAAAGGCGTAAACCTTTGCATGCATATATGATGTGTGAGGGTAAAGAATGTCTATTCTGTCTCTGCAATGGTCATTTTAACAATGTCACAGTGGCTTCAAAGGAAGCATCTGCTGTGAGTTTTAAACGGTCTATTGTAAGGCAAACTGTGAACAAAGGGATTTGCAAACAGGAGATAAAGCATCTTCCTGACTGTCTTAAATGAAGTATACTAAGGCTTGAAGGATGACCTGCCTTTTATTGTGTTCTTTGTGTATTCTTGTTAGCTAAGCAGATAACAGGAAGCTGTCTGAGCATAAATGTCCATGCATTGTGACTGTTAGGTAGACCGCTCTTACAGATCACTGCAATGTGTCTGTGAGACTGTTCTCTTTGCTTGCAAGCAAATAAATTGACTTTACAAACCTTGATCGTTCATCAAAACTCTGTTTACTTTATATTGATAGAAAACCTTCACTTTCTTCTCCCGACTAGTCAACGGTCTCAGTCGACTGTCAGGAAATTAATTTAGCAACTATTTCTATAATCGTTTAATTCATTTGTAAGCTGCAGTTTGTGCTGACTAGAATACTTTGGTTGTGAAACGGTCTCCTATATTGTATAGTTGTGACATTTAAAGGCAGAGTTTACTGAATACGGGCTGCATGTATTTCTCCAAGGATTGAGCGTCTTTCACAGTATTTTTATAGCATTTAGACCGGCTTTATAGTTATACAAAAAGACATATTTACAACATGGGATGACACAGCGTTGAGTCCGTCATGTGGTTTGAGAATCAGACGGGGTAAACATCTAGAACGAAATTTCCTGGGCCACTAAAGTAAGAAGAAGGACCTCGAGCGCCCTGAGGAAACTCAAGTGTGACTGAGCTCAGGTCACGCACAACAAGACCTGGCGTGAACTCTTGTGTGCTGTTGACTCTGCTTTACGTGATCCTCATACATCCTCCAAGGCATTCACTCAGCCCATAAACATGTGACGGGCTCTTCCTCTATAGCCTGCTGTGTGTGTGTGTGTGTGTGAAGGTTTCTCTCCTGCTGCCTTCACTGTATACAGAGAGATCGGTGTCTCTTTGTGTTTTGCGTTGTTAGAGGAGTCTGACCTGATTTGAAGGTTCCTCTGAAGTTAGAAGGAGCAATGTGGGTATTTTCCTTGTTTGGTCTGATCTTCAGCAGACACATTTTTTCAGTGTTTTCAAGTTGTTTTGCCCAAACTTTTTGTGTTTTACAGCAGATTGAAAACCTGTTTGCAGCTCATTTATAATCAATGCAGTGACTCTGTTTAATACTGATGCCTCTATATGACCAACATAAGTAAACAAGACCATCTATTTCTAGTTATTCTTATTGCTCATCACTGCACAAAATCGGACAAAATCATGACATGCAGGTTCACCAGAAACTCCTTAAGCTCAGACTCCAGCAGCAGACCCGGGTCCAGTTTTGCTGGCGCCTTCAACCTGCAGTCAGAAGCTCCGGCGGGAGGAGGAGAGCTCAGCTCCCGGCAGCAGCAGCATCTGCTCCTCCTCCTCCTCCTCCTCCTCCAGGAGCAGAGCTTTGACTTGCTGCTCCGCTGGGAGCAAACACAGACACCACGCTGCTGGAGACCCAGGCTGTATTGCTGGACCTAATTCCATACACACCTTGAAAAGGGAGGAGTGAGTGGGGGAGTATGTAGTTGGTTGCAATCTGCGACCTCACCACTAGATGTCACTAAACCCCACACACTGGTCCTTTAAGTAAACGTCCTACTTCTTCCAGCAGTGCTGAATAGTCCAGTCCAACCCATGGCAGCCGTTAAAGTCCTCTGCTCTGTGTCAGGAACACCTTGCTGACCTCCTCTCTTCCTGACAGCAGCAGTGTGTTTGAAGCTCTCTAAAACCACAGACTGTTACTCTTCCTGCTTTCTATCTCCGTCGGCTGTTTGGGACCTGGATCCACGTCTTCTAATTACCTTTTCTTGGTGGTTTAGTTCCCGGAGAGACGAGGTTTTCATATCCACAGCAATAACGTAAACATGAAGTGGTGCGTGTGCTGCCTGAACATGGTTTACGCTGTGGTGAAGTAGCCACCGGTCTGTCATGGGGAGACTCACAGGCTGAGTTAAGCACACAAACTGTCTAGTGAGTAAACAGAAGGTCCTAATCACACTGTACTTGTACTTTCACAGCACTGTTTGTCCTTCTTCACATGATGTATATGGTGCATGGCCAAAAGAGTGGGGGATTGATGTCAGAGTGAAAACAAAAGGAATTGTGCTCAGAGTTTATCAGTCTGGAGTCTTTTTGTGTGGATTCAATGGAGAAAAACTGTAATACAGCATTTTTTTTATGGGAATCACGCCACAGACACCCAGTTCGTAATACTGCAAATATATAAATATTGCAATACTGTCATCAGTGGGCCTTAGGCTTAAAGTAAAAATACCAATGCAGTAATGTAAAAGTACTACAAAGTAAAAGTCCTGCATTCATAATCCTACTGAATAGATACAGTATGTAGGATTTGGTGGTATTTAATGGTGTGGTTGCAGAATTCGAGAATTGGTTTGTCCCTTCTGCGCTACTGTAGAAAACATGGCGGACTCCATGAAGATGACCCGCTCCTTGTTTAGATATGGAGGGCTCATTCTAAGATCATGAAAACACACCGGCTCTTAGTCTCAGGTGATTAAAACATAGTTATGAACATGATGTTCCCTTTCTGCTCATGTGTCCCCCGAAATGCTGCACACTGTTCCTTTAAGTAAAAGTACAGAGGTAGTATCACCTCAATGTACTTGAAGTATCAAAAGTACTACTTGTGCAGTAAAATGTCCATGTGAAAACTGACATACAAGTTGCTGTACGTTGCATGTTCCTCCTTCTCTGTATCTGTCTTTGTGAACCAGATATCTTATCTCACATGTTCATTTAAAGAGGATCAGCTGCTGGTTCTTTTTATTCTGCCCATCTGGCTGCAATTATGTCACGCTCTGCCTATAACTCGGGCCTCACCAGCACATCACCGAACAGCGGCAGCACCGGGAGGATCCCGTCAAACTTTGAGAGTTTGAGTGGAGAATGAAGCGTTGTTTTCCGGCAGGAGGAGATGAAAGAACGGCTGCGTGTGTTTGGTCGAACTTGTCCGACCGGTTTTCACTCTCCTCAGCCACCGACTGTCAGCTGTGACGTCGGGACGAGCTGCTGGCGGACATCCGCAAGTTAGAGGATGAAAACAGTCAGCACAGGGTGCAGATAGTTCACCGCGAGCAGGATTTAAACAGCGTCCTATATTTGGAATTAGAAATAAAATAGTGCAGCAGCTGTGATTAAAATATTTGTGCAGCTACGACCCCATATCGATGGGAACTAGCTGTACCATGTTTGGCACCTGATTGTGCTTTTTAAGGTGCACATCTGAAGCAACCACATTATCCATATTCTGTATTTGAAAGGGTCCTGGTGGTCTGTGGCAATCTTAAAGGCACAACTCTGCTCTTTTCTTCAAATGCAGGGACGTTGTGCTGTAATTTAAGTCGTGTAAAAACATAGTTAAAGAGGAATAACACAATCAATCCCTCACAAAAAGTTATTTCATAAGTGATAAAAGGCATTCTTTGCTGCTGTTACTTGGTCTGGTAGGACCAGCAGCTAGTGGTGGCTAATGTTAGCTGTGCATCAAAAGTTACTTTAAAATCAAACAACTTGTTCTTGACAATATAGTGCAAATAAACGAGTACAATTATGACACATACAGCGTACTTTCAAGTCCAACATTTAGATTATTTGATGCATTTATTCACACTGCAATAACATGACTGGGTCTTTCTTTTGCTGCGAGCAGAACTAGCAAACTAAAGCTAAACTAGACCTCCAAAAACTCAAAATATAGACAGTAACTAAACACAAAACACACAAAAAAAACTTTTATTATATGTTCCTTAAATGATATGTGGGTATTTCTCACTGTTGTAACTGTCTAATTAAGTGTGTTAATAGATCAGCAAGACAACAACCGAGCTAATAAAGTTTAAAATGAAAAAGCTTTTATAGAGAAAAAAGCTGTGAGAATAAATGTAGTCTGGGCGCGAGTGTTCCCTCTGAGTTTCAGCGAGCACAGTTGAGTCACAGGAAAGGGCTCGCTGTCTCTGCGTGAGTACTACTGAGATGTCCAACACTGAATAACTGGAATGCTTCACATAGTTGTGGTTTTTCACTCAGCAGCAGAAGCAAGAAAACAGTCAGACGGATAAACAGACTGACGCTCAGGCAGAAAACTCTGCAGGAGCTGAGCTGGAGTAAGAGCTCCTGTTAAATGAGACTATTCTGTGTAATGTACAGTTAGCAGCAGGTTAACAGTGGTGTACCTGTGATCCTGGCTGGAGCTGAGGGTTATCTACCATGAGGGAGGCGGACCTGGTTTCAGTGATGCAGCAGGCCACACTGTTAGAAACACTGACGCACCGATGAACCTTTCAAGGTTTAGTGACGCACAACGTTTCTTTTCCATGTTATGACTTATGTTCAACAACATATTATTGAAATTAAAATGTATGAAAACCTCATTAAAAGCGCTGCCAAGAATGGTTTGCAGTAGTATAAAGAATACTTGACGTACATGTACAACAAGTGTGTTTTTTAACCAAATCCTATTTCTTTTTACTTAAAGGGGACATATCATGAAAAATGTTTTCAGTTCTTGTGCACGTACATTTAGAGTGCCTATGAACCCACAAACTGTGGATTAAGACAATCCGGTACGTTGGTTTTGTGGACTTCCTAGATCAGAAAACATGTATTTCATTCAGTGTGTCCCAATATATAGTATGTCACATACAGTATACCAACTTTACCAGGATGTTCTACTACATCTAGTCGCATTTTGCAGTATGCAAGCCAGCGTGATCCACAATCCTGCGCAGAAGATATTTAAGCAAGAGGGGTCAAAGTTCAAGGTCCGTTTCCATTTCTCTCCATTTTCCTGATTATACTTACATACGTTTACTGAAGTTTTCAACATTTTCAATACGGGACTTTTACTGTTTAATGAGTATTTCCCATACCTGCAGGTGTTCAGTGGGAACCAGGTGACTCTTCAGGGGCCGTAGCAGGTGAGTCACATCAAACCCTTCAGTGGGCCATCCTGTGTGGAAGTACCATGTGTCTCCAAAAGGTCCCACACTGTACCATTATTCTGTCAGTATGCTGTGAACGCCACAGCAGGAGCTGCGTCAAGCTCAACACAGTGAGATGAGGATGTTGCACACGTCCATTTGGCCTTCAAACTAAAAGCTTTAGCTTTCTCTTAATAAAGACTTGTTTTCTATATTTGCCTCTCAACACAGTTCTATACAGTATTTAGTATTAGTATTATATTCATTATTATATAGTAATACATATTTTATATATTAAGTTATTACCATGCTGCATAATATGTAAACAAATTGCTGAATTGTTGGTTTATTTCTTCATACTGTATGTACATTTTTCTATTTAAAGGGAAATAATTCTTAAAGCTGCACTAAATATTACTTTATTTTAAAGATGTCAAACACAAATGACACTGACAACAGAAAGAAGATTGTGTACATCGTTTTATGCTATTCTTTATGTATTATTCATGCACTTTTTAAGCTCTACATTCAGTATTTCATTCATTGATTTATTAATATTTATCAATTAGTCATTTTAAAAGTTTCTTTCATTACTCTTTCCTATTGTAGTTATTATTATTGCTACTGGAATAGACCTTTAGTGTAATGACACATTATAAATACATTATTGTATCAATTCATATATTCATTATAATGCAATATACTTGTATGTTGTATGTATTTAATATTTGATAATATATCAAAATTCGTATCTTTTAATTTCTTAATCAACATGGACAAATATAAAGTACTACAACAGATACTGAGCTAACATGTCAACATGAGCAAACGGATGAAGACCATCGAATACAGTTGAAAGCTCTGGAGAAAAAAGTAAATGAGTCGAGCTTGAGTTGGTATTGTTTTTGTCAAAATATGTTTCATATTGGCTGCAAATAAAATTGGGAAAATAACTAAATAAAAAAAAACCTCATGGATTAGTTCTGCAGAGCCAGAAACTGGTTTTATTTTGAAATTTATCACAGGAAGTGGTATTAATGGCGGTTCGTGTCAGCTTGACTGGCGATTCTCGGTGACACATCTCCTCCTCCACCTCCTCCTCCGCGGCTCCACTTCACCATTGTGTGTGTGGAGCTCAGTGAGCGTTGAGGTCGAGGCTGTCGCAGGGTGGTGGGGGGGGGACGGACGATGGCGGAGAATTAACAAACAAACAAACAAACGGACTATAATTTATCCTCCATCTTCTTCTTCTTCTTCTTCCTCCTGACCGTCCGCCGCTTCCCGCTCCCGGCCTCACCGACATCACACCCATGCAGCAGAGGAGCCCCTGGACGGGACTAGCTACATGTGGTGAGTGACAGACACCGACACCTTTAAATACACAGAAACTTGTCCTCGCGCTGCCAGCCGTTTGTCCGTCGCGAGCCTGTGGGCAACGCGTGAGCGGTTTGTGACGTCACGTTAACTTATAAGAGGAAGAAAGAGCCATTTGTTTAATTAACGTTACTACAGATTTAACAATAATTATCAGACATTATAGTTTACACCTTTATACCGCGGCAGGAGCCGGTTAATAAGCAGAAATAGTGAGGTTTTAATGTAAAATTTAAATAATAAATAATAAAAGAACAACCGCTTTTCTCTCCGGTTGTTTGTAGAGGTTGTGGCCAGGTGCGAGAGCCTGGTCGCCGGGTAAGTAGGCGGGGAGCAGCCGGTGTGTCTGGAGGTCCCGGAGGGTCTAAAAACCAGCTGCTGCTTTGACAGCTTTACGCTGCGCTCTCTGGGTCTCTCGCAGTGATTAATACTGGAGCATTAAGACCGGCATGTGAGCAAATATCCGGACAAGGAAACTATGAAAATGGCTTTTAATTGATATTGTGGGTTTAGTTGGTTAGAGGTGGTCGGTAGTGACTTTACATGTCTTTTAATGTTTCTTTATGGGCTTGTGGTTCACTTTTTGGTCCTCAACATTCAGCTCATAGTCCTTAATATGTGTAATTAATAGTACTTAATTACACGTATATGTACTGTAGTATCAACAAAACACACCTGTCATGTCCCCAGCTTTTAGTAGAATAAGTACTTAATGTTTTAAGTTTTGATAAGAGCCAGACTGATACTTGTGTTTTGACAGAGGCAGATACATATACTTTAATATTTTCAGTTTGATTTTCAGGATTCTTTTGTGTGTCCATAATAAGTACTGAACTGGACACTCCCTTTAATGGAATTAAATTAATTAATTAAATTATGATCAATAACAACTATATAAAGCCTTTAAAACTTACTATCTATTATTGATTAATATATTGTTGCCCCTTTCAATTAATTAGCAATCTGTGTCTATAAAGTAAAGATATCTTGAATTAAATGATGTTGTGTGACCTGCAGTCAATAAACAAACCCAAAGGTATTACATTTATATTTATATTTAAAAGAAAAACAGTGGAAAGTAGCAAAAACAGTCCAGTTTGTTTGAATTGAACACAGAAAAGAAAAGAGTTCATCCACCTTTTTATTACCAACACATGAAACAGAGGCCACTAATGTGTAAAAGGTGATCTGCAGTAGCTGCATGAAGACAGCGTGTCAAACCAAGTATCCCAGAGTTGTGTTTACACTGGGGAGGGTCAGAGGTCAGAGGTCAGCGTGTTGCATGTTTCCTGGCGTGGAGTCGAGGTTTAAAGTGAAGAATGTGGTCGTTGGAGCGGGCGGAGTTAAAGCAGACTGACAGACGTCCGCTCTGCTCTCGGTACAATCAGCACTTTGTGTGCATTATGTAAGACTTCGACATTGGACTCGCACACTCTGCAGGGCTGCCGGTCACACTCGACTCCGACACGAGAGCCGACTGACGAAGACGTCGAAGACACAAGCTGATCAACAGGCAGTTAACTGCGAGGCTGAGGCCATGCTGGCTGCACAGCGGTGCTTCAAGCTAAATGCTAACTGTCTCTCAAAGACAACGCTAACATGCTATGTGTAGCAGGTACAGTGTTCGCCAAGCTCCCCGTATTAGTTTGAGATAAAAGGCTGTGTTTATTTAGAGGGAAATTGTTGCGCAGCAGTTGCGGTACAAAGTAGGAAACAGTGCAAATAACACTAAATAAACTAAATAAAGATTAGCAATAAGGTGCAAAAAAAAAAACAATGTACACAGTGACAGAAATGTAAACAGTTAACAGGGAGGGTCAGAAATAAGCAGCATGCTCTGATTTGTTAATCAGCAGGAAACACAAACTACAGCTGAGGCTGATGGGAAAGTTCTGAGTTGGACACATTCAGATTCAGACCTGATGGATCAGCGTTTAAGTTCCACACGGTACGGGACGTTATGTCCCCCCAGTGTACGATACATGGAGACATGATCCAAGTTTGATTTGACACTCGACTATTTCATATTTAACTGTTGCAGCTCTTCTTTCACAGCACATTTGCACCATTGTTTTACTTTTTGTGATGCAGCTTTTTGGTGGTTAAGTTTAGTTTTTAAATTATTTTGGATTCACTTTCTTAACACACCTGAAGTGCGACCCACTCCTTATTTGAGCCTCAAACAACAACAACAACAACAACAACAACAAAAAGACAATTTCCCGTAAGCTTCGGTCCGTATATTTACTGTAACATCAGACAGAAAACCAAACGGGACAAAAGACTGAGTCATCAATGACTCAAGAAAGACAGATAAAAGACGTATCACATGTTGTGTTTGTGTTTCATCTTTAAGTGACACACACACACACACTCACATTTACACACTCACACACACACACACTGGTATACCCTGCAGTGTGCTGAGGAGGCGTCGGTAGCAGTAAACACACAGGATTTGATTCTGTGAGTAAAGTCCAGCTTCACTTCCTGGACTCTGAGTTTCCCTTTGAACACAGTCATTATCGGCAGCAATAAGGACCTCAGGCGCCTCTTCTATACAGAAAACAAAACAAAGCCGTCACAACACAACATGGACGAACAGAAGAGGCTGGTTATCGCTGCGAGTTCTCATGAAATGAAAACAAAGAGTTTCAGAGAGTAACTTTCTGTTTCTCTGCCTGAGCGCTGCAAATATAAAGTGTCTCTTTAAAACAGGTCAGTCAGCAGCAACATGTTCCTACATGTCAGACTGAACAGTGTGGGCAGAGACACGCACACACACACACACACACACACACACACTGTGAGTCAGGTAGACACACACACACACTGTGAGTCAGGTAGACAAACACACACACACTGTGAGTCAGGTAGACAAGCACACACACACACACACACACGTTAGTCAGGTAGACAAACACACGCACACACTGTTACTTAGGTAGACACACACACACACACTGTTACTCAGGTAGACACACACACACACTGTTACTCAGGTAGACAAACACACACGCACTGTTACTCAGGTAGACACACACACACACACTGTTACTCAGGTAGACACACACACACACACTGTTACTCAGGTAGACAAACTGTATTTTGAAAACCATAGACCAGATATAAGAAGTGCATGTAGTCATCATAGTTTGAGAACTTTGGTTTTGAAGCCTTGAGTTCGGCATTTTGGCCATCGCCATCTTGTTGTTTTGCAACCAATGAACAGGAAGTGACCTTATTAGGACCGCGGTGGAGTGACATAGAGACGCCGTATACATCGCTTGTCAATCACAGTAAGCCCCGCCCTAAAGCATACCCTACTTTATGGTCTGTTTGACTCTAAATGGACCATAATCTACTAAATGAACATCATGCTGTGTTGAAGAAGACTTGAAACTAGAGATTGAGACCATAAACTCATGTTTACAATGTTTACTGAGGTAATAAATTAAGAGAGAAGTAGAGTCATTTTCTCATAGACTTCTATACAACCAGAGGAGTCGCCCCCTGCTGGTCAGTAGAGAGAATGCAGCTTTAAGACACTTCAGCAGTCTTGATGAGTTATTGTACAAACACCATAACAATAGTTTTTCAACCACACCAAAACCTGAGGCCTTTATCGAATAATGTGACGATTATTTTCCTTCATTTATTCGTGAAGATGAAAGTTATAATTTCCCACAGCTCAACATGACGTCCTCAAAGATCTTGTTTTGTCCGAAAGCCAAATATATTTTAGTTTATTATCATGTATGACGAAGAAAAGCATCAACTGGAAGCACAGAATATTCTTTTAACTTCTGCTGAAAACAATGACTTAAATTATTATTTGATTATCAAAATAGTCTGTGGATCTACTAATGTATTAATCGACTTATCATTGCAGCTCCAAAGCCTTTTCTTTCTACGTTTCTCTCCCCAGAAAACGCTCTGGGATGTATTTTTTCTGATGCAAAATTAAAGGCAGATAATGATCAGAAACCTGTAAAGAACAAGTGTTGACATGACGCTTTATCACAGTTTATTTAGGGAAACAAAACAGGACGAGAGCTTTTTATCTGTGATCTGGATTTGATCTCCAAACACGGGGATTCACCAAAGTACCCGATCGCATCTGTGAAACCCCAGAGTGACTGAAACACTCTGCAGCTCCACAGCCGGTCTGTGAGAGAGAGGAAGAAAGATGGCGGGCGGTGGAGTGTGCTGCTGGCTGTCGTCAGGATGACTAAACACAGAAGCCTGCTGAGCAGGAACATTCCTGTGAGGGAGGAAGCTGCAGCTCGTGCCAAACAGTAACACGCTGATCCAGAGAACTATCACCACAGGAGCAGAGGCCCAACACGTCTCCTCACCTGTGACATCACACCTGCAGAAAGAGCTGACTCAGCTGTGTTTTTAGTTTTGTTTCATTTACGCTCAGACAGCTGATTTACTGACAAGTCACATGACTCACAGTTCTGCTGTTTGCTTAAATTTATATTTATTATTTTTTAATAGCGTCACTCTTATCTGGAGAGATTATGAAAGAAATGCAGCAGTGATTAATTAAATACGTGTAAATGTGATCAGTGTGAACATTAATTAATCGTTTTAAGTTATTGGTAAAAAATACCAAACGTGAGTGTCGGAGCTTCAGCTGCTTCTCTTCGTCCCGTCTGATCATGAACTGAATGTCTTCGGGTGTTTTTTTGACTTTTGGTCGGACAAAACAAAACATGTGCGCTTTGGTCAGTGAGGTAAATCCACGAAAAACAACGGTAACAATGTTACTAAAGCTAAACGGTGTGTTTTTCTCACCTTGAAAGGTGCAGAATGGAGACCCAACAGTCCTGCGGTTGATTTGAGCAGCGACTACTTTGATGATCAGTTAACTGTCGGGGGTTCACATGTTCTGGTTTCAGCTTCTCAGATGTGAAGATGTGTCTCCAACAGGGAAGTAAACCGAATATTGTTTTTGGACGACACACAAAATACAGCATGTGATGAATAATCGTCAGATCAATCGCTCGTAAAAATGATAATATATGTATTATATCTAATAATAATGAGTTGCAGACGTAGTGTACATACAGACATGGTGCTCATGAGGTCATGTGATCACATGGGTTCACATGTTTCAGTCTGTACTCTGAGAGCAGAGCTGCTGTAACACAACACCAGCTCTGATAGTTTACTCAATGGAAAGGTATGTGACACGCACACGCACGCACCCCTACACACACACACACACACACACCCCTACACACACACACACCTGTCAGATCTCCATGACAAAGACTTTGGTCTGTTTTTTTTTCCCACAACTGCAGCGTTTCTGAAACTATTTTTGGGTTTCTGCCTCATCACACAGACAGCTGGCGGGGGGGGGGGGGGGCATATTTGAATCTCAGCCAGCTGATCCAGAGTCACAGGAAACGTTTTTCATTCGTAAGGATTCCCGATCGGAGTGTGTACACACTTAAGTTTTTATGTTCAGAAGTCAAGTGTCTGTAGGAAAAGAGACAGACAGACATGGGGGGGAGGATGCATGTCTCTCTCTCTCTCTCTCTCTCTCTCTCTCTGTGTGTTCCTATGTCTCTCGCCCCGTCACCTCCTCACCTCGTCCTCTCTGGGTGTCGGAGCAGATGGCCCCTCTGAGGGGCCCCGCATTGGTTTAAAGTAGAGAGGAGAAGGAGGGAGAGCTGATGAATAATCATATATAAGAAGAAGAAGGAGGTGTGTGTGTGTGTGTGTGTGTGTGTGTGTGTGTGTGTGTGTGTGTGTGTGTGTGTGTGTGCGTGTGCAGTTTAATTCAGTCGCTGTCAGCACTTTCTGACGCCTGTTGGCCGAGTAATCGAGAGGTCACAGGTTCAAATCCCCACCACCACAGACCTCCAACCCAGCAGCTGCCTTCATCAGCACTCCTACACACAAAGTAACTAAGTACATTTACTCTTCAATACGATTATTACTAGTCCACTTCGTACCTTATTTATATTATATGCATTATATTTAATATGTATTCTACGTCATAGTTCTACTCTACAACAATTCAGACGTACATATTGTACTTTTTACTTTACTTTGCAGACTACAATGTAAGATATGATGGAACAGTATATGAAGTAGTGGAACATTAAAAAGCTTATCGTTGAAAGCATCAGTAATAATATTCCAATAATATGATTTATATATTATAATAATATAACTCTGATAAAGACCTTCAGATTTGCTGTAAACTGAATATCTTTAAGTTTTAGCAGCGATCATTTACATAAGTACAAGGAGTAATACCACACTGTAAAGTATTGGCAACAAAATGTCAAAGTATCACAAGTAAAAGTACTCCGTGTTGTATTATTATTATTATTGTGAAGTATTATCTTTGAGGTATTAACATTTGAGCAGGACGTTGACGTTGTAGTTTAATCTGTAACATTATATTTCATAAACAAGCACATTGTTATTAAAATAGTACCTGTAGAATACACGTAGAGGAGGGACAAGTACAACATTTCCCTCTAAAATCTAGTGAAGTAGAAGTAAAGTACCTCAAATGTACTGTCGGTCGTACAAATCTGAGCATAACATTTAAATCTAAATAAATTAAGTTATTTCACATCTTTTAGGCTGATTTAGTCACCAAAGTGTGTCTGTGTGTGTGTGTGTGTGTGTGTGTGTGTTCAGTGTATGTCATCAGGACAGAAGTCGCCTGTTTCCTGTGTTTTGTTGTTCAGTCAGAAGGTGTCAGACTGACTCCCACCCAATCAGCTGACTGCGGCTCACATGGGAGCAGGTCAGCTGACACACACTCACGCACACGCACATGCACACATTTCTCTTGACAGTTTGAGAGGAAGTCGCTCCGCTTCCAGGAAACCTGTGACTTGTCCGTCACAACTTTCCGTGTCATCACTCGTGTATTTCTCAGCAGCACACTTCATGTTTCAGTTCATATCAACATGTCAACATGTCTCCATTCCTCGTATTTAATTACCCGAGTACAAACTTCAGGTACTTTACTCGTGTCTATTATCATTTGTGTAACTATCTACTTCTCCTCCACTACATCTCAGAGGTAACTATTGTACTTTATACTACATTTGTCTGACAGCTTTAGTTCTTCATCTCCTTCCTGTCCAGTTTA